ATAGACGTTACGTCTAATGCCCTGCTTATCATCATTATTCTTGTACATCTATTCTAAATTGCCGACGATAATCTTCGAAAACAGTTTGAATCGATGGAATGTCAAACGCCAGAGTTATTTGAATTAACTGTCCAAGTTTCCGATAGTTTCAACCGCCTTTCTAAAGTTTTCGATCAATTTTTATTGGCCCTTGGAACTCAGTGCGAAGCTTTAATTTAAGAAATTCGACTTTACTTGATCTGGATGGTTTTATGATCAGAAAACCAGTTAACGTGCACACGAAATGCTACATAATACATTCAGAGTTCTAAGTCATATGGCCGTATTGCCATGGATTTTCTTTAAGAATATTGACTTACTTGATATTTTCCAATGTCTTAAGCGAACAAGAGTTATGAAATTCTCACCTGTCTCGGGTTTTGACATTCAACCACCAAGCGAAACTCGTCCGACATAACTTCTGTCGTTTTATCCTCCGTTGAGTTCACACATTCTGTCCAACACCGTGTAGGAAAGACATCCGACCCCTGCAACTCAGCTTGACACCCGGACAACAAACTGTGACGTAGCCGACAATATACCATTTCTCTGACGTCACCGATATTGTCCTACATCTTATGAAAAAAAAACAGCTTATGAACTGAAGTGGCCTCTAATGCTTTTCTCTGTTGTTCCGGTATATTTGCTCTGATTCCAGAGATTTCTATGAAACATTGATCGACATAATCTGGATAGATGTTTACAGAAATAGCGTTACTGCGTTGATCAATCGATGGTCACTATTGATGCAATACCTGTGATATGTTTACTTGTAATGTGGACCAGGGTATGCTCCGAGAGGCACATGCTTTCAATACGATTATCGTCTGTGATTTATTGCAGATTTTTTTAAGTTCGTGCAATTACATCGGTTTCATTCTATAACTGTCACATAAATTGTCGATCGATATGTATACGATATTTTGAGTGAAATAACATTTTATCACTAAGACTATGTGGAAATGAATGTTATAGATTTTACTGTTCATAATTGTTTTTAAAAAATCAGCTTTTCATACATCACACATGTTGAGCATTCGTATAATTAAATCACATAATCCAAAAACAGAATTAATGTTAAAGCGTTTATGGGTCTACAGTTTAGGTACAGACAACAATGGCAATGACTTAAGAAATCTCATACATCAATGGAAAGTCGCCGTTGCAAACATTGTCCTCTGTGACATTCTTCATAAAACCTTGTATCAATTAATTTTCTTTCAAAATATTGTATTGCCAATATTAACTTGAACAAGAGACTGGCCTCAAATTATTATAATTGTTGGGTTTATCCTGTATCCACTAAGAATAGTTGTATAACATTTGGAAAAGCACCGTAATCTATTTCATAAGGCAATACATGACGTATATATCGACCATAAATACCATAACATGACTGTGCAAAGCTTATATGTCTACATTTCTTACACATTTTGCTGTCTCCAATGTACGTTGTAACTCAATTTGAACTAAAACAAGACATAGTTTAAAATCCCACACGGAATGACGTCAATAAAGTGTTGCGAATGAGTTTCTCAAAATAATATAGGTGAACCTACCTTGATTATAACCCTTAAACTCGGAACTCGTCCAACAGAACTGCGACAATGATTTTTATTACCATAACAAATGTGACCTTGACCCTATATCCCTGAACGAAGAATGCTACCACGAGCTTTTGACGCTCCTATAAAACGTGGAAATCTGTGGAGAAAGTTTTCTTATATAAACCATTTCTGTGTGTTGTTTTGATGTATTTTACTGAAAGGATATTTCACTGATGTACCGGAAATGGTGAAGGACATCGACATTTTGACAATGTCGTCCAGTCTGGCTAATTCTTCCGAGTGAACACTAGTCTAATCCAGCCAACACCTTCACTGGGTATGGTCAGTCTTGGTCATACCTGAGTGACCAGCCGAGTAAACTTCATGGTAAAAAATGTAATCACTAGGATATTCGAAGTTATATTAAGTTCGTTCAGAGTAAGCATGGATTCCATGGACAACGGAAAAGGTGAACATGGAAAGTAGGTAAAGTTTATTGGAGATGTGTCGGGAGGGTCATGATCTTATTGTATGTCCGACTATAGACTGGATTACCTGCCTTATTTACAACTTTTCTGCGCTAGACTGTTGCTTGCTGCTAACATCGAGGCACGGGAGAAAATCACACCAGCTCCATCTATACGATGAGGAGACTGGACTTCTAAGAAATGGGGAATACAGGAAATACATGGATTTGAAAAAGTGAAATCTTCTCTTTTCAGTCATCGAATGAAGACAAATTCCTAAGCTGACATGCACAAGACAAGATATAGGAAGTCGGGGTGGATGGAGAGAAACTTCTGCTGGGAGAAAGGTTTTGAACCAAGATTTAATTTGCCGCTGATGAGAATTGGAACATATATTTGAATCTCCAATCATTTTTGGTGAAGGCATCTCTACTACTGTTCTGTCCTCATTTATCAGCTACATGTATAAACTCTGAATGGACGTTTTCATGATACCGTATCATAATATATTTACAGATTTCACCCAAAAAATATGTAGCGCTGTGTTGAACTAATTTTATGTAGCACTGTGTTGAAATAATTGTATGTAGTTCTGTATTGAAATATTTTATGTAGTTCTGTATTGAAACATTTTATGTAGTTCTGTATTGAAATATTTTATGTAGTTCTGTATTGAAACATTTTATGTAGTTCTGTATTGAAATAATTTTATGTAGTTCTGTATTGAAATATTTTATGTAGTTCTGTATTGAAATATTTTATGCAGTTCTGTAGTTTTATGTAGTTCTGTATTGAAATAATTTTTATGTAGTTCTGTATTGAAATAATTTTTTCTTCATGAAATATTTTATGTAGTTCTGTATTGAAATATTTTATGTAGTTCTGTATTGAAATATTTTATGTAGTTCTGTATTGAAATAATCTTATTTCTTCATCTATTTTATTTTCTGTATTGAAATATTTTTTCTTCATGGAAACATTTTATGTATAATTTTTGATAGTTCTGTATTGAAATAATTTTATGCAGTTCTGTATCAAAACAATATGAAGTAGTTCTGTGATCAAATAGACACTCAAAATTGGGTAAATTCTTCATAACAAGGAAATATATTTTAGATTACATATTTCTGAGATATATGTATTGATTATATGTAATGCTGTGTATGACAATTACATTAAGTATTAATTTAAGTAAAATAAATCATCACAGGAATTTCATACTTTCGCTGTCACTGTGGGAGGTTCCGTGGTTGGTTGGATGACAAGTTTTCCGTCTCCGTGACTTCTCCCGCGTCCGGGCATCTCTCACCGATGAACGTCAGTGTTCTGGCGACGTGATGTGAAGTTCCCGATTTTCCCATGTCTTATAAGACGAAACTTGTTTTATGAAGACAATTCAAGCTAATTATAGTCAGTTCCATGCCTGTTTCACCGGAGTTCATTTACCCGTGATATCTGTTATCTGAGATACTATAAGTGATTCATCAATCAAATTTTTAATTCCAAATGTGATGCCGCGTTTGCATACTAAATAATGTCTACCCCCTTTGTATTACAACAGGAGCTTAGCAGTTTTATGATTAAGTTAGATTTCATCTTCAACTTGTCTGGGAATACAATTTTTGTTAATTTAGGCATAATAAAAATTAGTATTAGATGAAGATTTTGTTTCTATATTAAGAAACTATGTATAAGTCTATATTATTTCAGTAACATTATCTAGCTATTTTTTTTTTATAATTTATACATGCCATGTATAAAAAAAATGTAAAATTTGAATTGATTTTAAATACCAATAAATTAAATACAATATTAAAAATATTTCTTTTTATTCATTTTCTGTATTAAAAGCAAGTATACGAATATATTAAGTTCTGAAATATTGTTGGATTAATAAATTAAAAAAGGATTTAATGTTTAAAACATGTATTTGAATTAAAGAAAAGGAAGATTTGGACTAGGACCATTTGGATAAATTTTACTTGTTTTCAAAAACACGAATATTATTTACATTCTGACAACATTATCCCATCAATTAAAACGTTAGTTTCAGCCCTAATACAATCCGTCGACCCAGGATGTGTTGAGTCAATCCAATTATTGATTTAGTTATATATCTAATAGCGAAGTGTTATAGTGACGGTGACACGACAGAAACTCCCTACGACGGGGATTTGGCACCAATTCCTGACCCACGGTCCATATATAAGTATCATAGGGAATTCGTGCCAAATCCCTGTGCTACATATACATGGACCGTGGGTCGGAATCCAGAACTAAAACCAGTTCCCCCTGTTGTGTAGTAAGTATATTGAGGGTAAATGTTCAATGTTTAAATCTTCTGAACATAAAATCATGATACGTCCCTGTGTCCTCAGACAACTCGCTCTGTCGCATGTGTTAGTGTGACTGTTTTTTTGTGTTAATGCAAGCTGTAAGTCTGTCTTTAGGTGCATAGTTATGCCGTGTGTAAGCCCGACTTCTGTTTGAAATTTTGCTTCGATAATTATTACGCAATTATTAATCCATATTACCGCCATGATAATCCCCCCATTCAGTTCACACTAACCAGACATCGGACAGGCAAATTGTAATCATTATTTAAAATGAAAATCACTGATGAAATCATATTTGTAAAACTAAACAGCAATTTTATTCGTTATGTATCCACTTTGCTATTTGTGTATTTTGCATTATGTACATAAAACTCTGGATGAATGAACTCTTAAAAAATGAAAGTTTAAAAAAAATCATAAGATACAAATAAGAAAATAGCACCGTTTTGTGCAGGAAATGTACCACAAACGTCATCTGTACAAGTCGTAATGACATGAGTGTCGGAAACACTGCCATCATTTTTACTGAATATAAAACATTAAAATTACATCGACATGGCGATTAAAATTATCAGTCACATCGCGTCACTCAGAGTTCCACCAATCCATCCCTACTGAGGGGTAGACCAGGGAGGCAGAAGTCTAGGTCCCGGGGCACGGGTCATCGGAAAGTTTTTGTCGTGTGGAGCGGGACTTGCGAAGCTTTGGATCGGATATGGTTGAGATTTGAATCCAATCCCTGGGTCCATATATGGCGAATTCCACAAGTTGGCCGAGTTACCAAGCGGGCTTAAACTCTCGCTTTTAATTGCGGAAGGGTGTGCCATATTGAAATTCGGAATATGTAAACCCTGAAACTGATGGACGTTGCTGCCATTCCAAAGCCCTGCCATTCCATTCATGTAGGCGTGGTACTTATTGGTGATATCTGCGGAAGTATTGCCGTCATTGGATGGTGACGTCATTTGAGATGGCGGTGATGTCGCGCACGCGTCGTCATATGACGGAGGACTTTTGGCAGGATGTGACAATGGAGTCGTCGGCACACTGTCGTTGATAAACGGATTCCACAATCCATTGTTAGCAGATCTTTCTTCAACTGATGTAGCGTACTCGTGCTGAAGATTGAAAGAATGGCCGAACGTGTTGTCAGCTGGCTGGAGTTGCGCCATTTTGTTTTCGAGGCAGCCGAGACCAACGTGGTGACGTTGTGGCTGTAGAAACACATCCGGGGATCCAATCGAACTAGGTGCCGACGAATGGCGGGCTTTTTTACGGACACCATCCTTGTAACGATACCTCCTCCGCAGGAAACTCCCATGGTCAAACATATCCTCGTATTCTGCGTCAATAGCCCATTCGTGTCCCTTCATTCCGGGGCGACGAGGAAGCTTTACGAAACAGTCGTTGAGTGCCAAATTGTGACGTATTGACCCCTTCCATCCTTTTTGATTAGGATGGTCCCTAAAGTAAGGGAATTTGTCAGTTATAAACTTGTAAATGTCATTAAGAGTGAGCTTCCGCTCCACATTGTTACAGATGGCCATACTGATCAATGCAATGTAACTATATGGTGGTTTACCTTTGGGAATTGGTCGTTTCCGTTTCCGGTGCCCCGTGGGTTTGATATCACAATTTTCATCATCGCTGAGGTAGCGTCGTGCGGGGGGTGTCTGGTCGATTATTCCACTATCAAGCTCCACTCCTTCCTCCTCCCCACTCTCACATAACGCTGTGTCGTTTTTAGCGTCACCACCGTGTCCGCTGTCTGGGGAGGAATCCCCGGGTCCGCGACTTTTAGCGTTCACATTCACATTGAACATATCAGTCTTTTGGTAGATATCATTCAACATGCTGAGATCCGCAGGGGTCGGGATATCCCCGATGCATCCGGACATATTCGGAATAGTCGGGGTTGAAGTTTGTTGAAACGATGGTAGATCACGGTAATATCCTCCAGGAAACATTTTATAATCCATATGGGAAAATGACATGTCCGACATTTTGAAACTTCAAAGTTCACACACAAAAAGTCGCCTGTAGTAAAATCCGATGTTTTTATAAAATTTTGTTTTTGGTGTAAAACAACACAGTAGTTCCAGTTACGATGTAAATCCACCGTAAGAAAATATAAAAATGATGTAAAACCACAAATTCATAGCACTATAATAAATAAAACCCTGGACATGAGTAACTCACATCAGCTCGGATCTCGTCCTGTCTGTCGCATGGTCTCTTTGAGTAAGGGTGTGACGTCACTTGAGCGACACCGTCCCACGGAACGCACGAGCCTCTACATACCTTACGAGACAATCGCCGCAAATTTTAGGAGATAGGTAGCACAAACTACAATAGGATTATCTTAATCCTTTCAGTGTCAACATAACAATGGGATTTCGTTGAAAAATAAATACAAAATGTATATCAAGATTCGGATAATGGATATTTGAAGAAAAAAGTAAAATGATCGGTGATTCATGTTGTTAGTATCACGGATATTTATCATTTAGTATAAGATATCAGAGTTGTATTATCAAAAGGTGTTTTTGTAACGCATAAAGCTATAGCTATTCCTATACATATACGCAATTTGTGAACGTATTTAAAATCAACACGAGAAACAAATGAAATGATTTAAAATAAAAAAAAGTCAAGCGGTTTTTTAGTGGGGGGGGTGGGGGGGTCTAAATAAATAAATCGGGATCGAGCAATGACAACATGTCTTTTGTTTTCAATTTGTTATTATTTGTTGTTTATTTGCTCCTTATTATCCTATCTTATGAATAAAGAGTTTTCGGTTATTTTCACATGTCAATTTTTTTACCGTTTATTTTTTTCTTTTTATAATATTAGACCTGTCAAAAGACAGGTCCAGCTTTTGATTACTGAAAAATACACAGGGGCATACACTTATACGCCGATGACTAGCAGTCTTGTATCCTCCCTTATGCTGGTGCATGTATTCCACTGTGCATGGTGGTACATGTATTCCACTGTGCATGGTGGTACATGTATTCCACTGTGCATGGTGGTACGTGTATTTCACAGTGTATGGTGGTACATGTATTCCAGAGCGCATGGTGGTCAATGTGCATGGTGATACATGTATTCCACTGTGCATGGTGGTCAATGTGCATGGTGGTACATGTATTCCACTATGCATGGTGGTACATGTATTAAACTGTGCATGGTGGTACATGTATTCCAGAGCGCATGGTGGTCAATGTGCATGGTGATACATGTATTCCACTGTGCATGGTGGTCAATGTGCATGGTGATACATGTATTCCACTGTGCATGGTGGTCAATGTGCATGGTGATACATGTATTCCACTGTGCATGGTGGTCAATGTGCATGGTGGTACATGTATCCACTGTGCATGGTGGTACATGTATTCCACTGTGCATGGTGATACATGTATTCCACTGTGCATGGTGGTACATGTATTCCACTGTGCATGGTGGTCAATGTGCATGGTGGTACATGTATCCACTGTGCATGGTGGTACATGTATTCCACTGTGCATGGTGATACATGTATTCCACTGTGCATGGTGGTCAATGTGCATGGTGATACATGTATTCCACTGTGCATGGTGGTCAATGTGCATGGTGGTACATGTATTCAACTGTGCATGGTGATACATGTATTCCACTGTGCATGGTGATACATGTATCCACTGTGCATGGTGGTACATGTATTCCACTGTGCATGGTGATACATGTATTCCACTGTGCGTGGTAGGACATGTATTCCACTCTGCATGGTGGTACATGTATTCCACAGTGCATGGCGGTGCATGCATTCCACTGGGCATGGTGGTACATGTATACCACTGTGCATGGTGGTACATGTATTCCACTGTGCATGGTAGTACATGTATTCCACTGTGCATGGTGGTCAATGTGCATGGTGGTACATGTATTCAACTGTGCATGGTGATACATGTATTCCACTGTGCATGGTGATACATGTATTCCACTGTGCGTGATAGGACATGTATTCCACTCTGCATGGTGGTGCATGCATTCCACTGGGCATGGTGGTACATGTATACCACTGTGCATGGTGGTACATGTATTCCACTGTGCATGGTAGTACATGTATTCCACTGTGCATGGTGGTCAGTGTGCATGGTTGTACATGTATTCCACTGTGCATGGTGGTACATGTATTCCACTGTGCATGGTGGTCAATGTGCATGGTGGTACATGTATTCAACTGTGCAAGGTGGTACATGTATTCCACTGTGCATGGTGGTACATGTATTCCACTGTGCATGGTAGGACGTGTATTCCACTGTGCATGGTGGTACATGTATTCCGCTGTGCATGGTGGTACATGTATTCCACTGTGCATGGTGGTCAATGTGCATGGTGGTACATGTATTCCACTATGCATGGTGGTACATGTATTCCACTGTGCATGGTGGTACGTGTATTCCACTGTGCATGGTGGTACATGTATTCCGCTGTGCATGGTGGTACGTGTATTCCACTGTGCATGGTGGTACATGTATTCCACTGTGCATTGTGGTACATGTATTCCATGGATAGTATATAATGGTATGATTGTACTAACAGTATGTGTTGAACATACTGGTTGAATGGTTGTGTAATGTTTTTGTTTTCCCTAAAGACTTCCGCTGTCCCTGTGCCTGTGTGTAAATATGATAGAATAACAGAGATTGATAACCATTTCCAATAATAGTATCGAGAGTATGATATAAACACAAAGTCAATCATTTACTGACTACATTCCAATTTGTATTAGACAGATAAATATATCCAATGTATCAATAAACTAAACACAAATCATTGTATTGATAGGTATGATACGATGAGAGTAATATAGTATGATTAGTATGATATGATGAGAGTAATATGCTGTATAGTGTGATAATTGTAATAAAGTATCGACTGTGATGCATGATTAGTGTAATATTGTATTTAATGGTTGTATGAGTGTTACATGCTACCATATCCTTGTTTGATTATACTGTATGTTGACCTCTTTTCACATACAATAATGTGTGATCAAATAAATCTTTAGGGGGACAAATTTTAGTAAGTTGGTCTAGTAAGTCTTTGTTGTCTTTGTCATCGCCGTATCATGTTCAACGATTATCAAAATTGAGAGGAAAAACTAACGCTGTTATAATTGACATTTCAGTTTGATAACACTTGGATACTATTCGCGTTTCTTTCGTCTTCCAATGATCCCCTGTCCATCAAATTTCGTCCTGTAAGAGCAACGTGGAAATTTTATTGAAGTTTAAACGAGAGAACAGAATGTATGTAACTTAAACACTGATAGCATACACAGCAAAAATAAATAGTAGTACCAAATTATGGGGTTCAATTAGACTTTTTCCATCTATGAAATAAATTAATGACGGTATGAACAGTCATGATGATAATGGACCCGATAATTCATTATGTATTTATAAGACCGGTTTTAAAATTGATCATTGCCTAATGGAACCAGATCTTAGCACACCCCTCCCCCTTCCCCAACCCCCCTTACCCCAGATGTCGGAAGAAAAAATGTGTAGATGTGACCATTTATGTTAGCTTGTAATTTAGAGAATAAATCGATACCAGCTTATGTACACACGCTGTCCTATATATGTATATATATATTACAAAAACACCCCCATCGATTGTTTTTACAGCAGTAACTCACTGGTGACGTCACTGTCGCAACACAATATACACTAATGAGACACGACTGACACCAATGGTTTTGTCCAGATCAATTTTTTACCCCTGAAACCATTGATTGCTATGGGCAGTTCTTTGGATATATTTTCATTCACTCATTGAATATAAGATATGTGTGTGGTAAAAAATACTTCACTTGTTATAATCATTCCAAGCCGTTAAAACTTGTTTTAAGTTATAAAAATAAAGTTGAATGGAAAACCTGTCATTTTCAAAAACGGATAGTTATTAACATAACACTAATGCAATAGTCGCGGGCTCAACTTAACCTCAAGTTCTAAAATCACAAAGTAATTGAAATTCTCACTTCGACCCAAAATATTACCAGAGCATTTAAACAGTGTTTATACATGATATGTGTACTTTCTGTACATTTCTATGTTATTTTTATCACTGTTAGGTATACATTTAATATTATGATACTTTTTTTTTGGAATAATCTTCAAATTTAATAGCGTAGATTATTTCTGTCGTTCCAGTGAAAGATGTCCATTTAAAGACAATATAATGTACGGTACATTTTAAATTCTTTGTAACTATCAGAGAGAGAGAGAGTAAGATATCGCTTCCCATTTCAATTCAATTCAATTCTTTATTACCTTGAGCCTTGCAGCTCATCGATTCCGAATGACATACAACAGATACAGTTGTGAACATCAATGGAACAATTGAAGCAGTTAACAGGGTGTATAGGGAAATCAACAGACCACCGATGTACAATTAAATCATGTGATCAATTTTAATAGATTTGATAATTCTGTCTTGTTTACAGATTTCATAAGTTAGATAATTTTTTAAAAAATGGGCCTATTACAATTGTATTTCTTGACGAAACGTTTCCTTAAATAAAATGAAATCCATTTTCTATGTCACCATTGTTACATAAAGTGCAGATTATATCATTCCTTTCTATGTTTTTTATACATCCCAATTTCAATATTTAATTTGTGAGATAACATTATGTTTTTTGCTATTTCCTATAGACTATGTAAACTTTAAAAACATAAGTCTTTTCCGATATATTTATACAGCGAACATTTGGAAGATGAATTTATCTTTTCATTACACTCTCGTTTAAAGATATCGAACGATCTAGTTTTGATAATGTTTATAGTACAATCAGGTGTAAAAGTATCTTCATAGTGTCATATAAACCTCACACTCATTTTAAAAAGTTTATCTTTCTCACCTTACATATCTTGGTAAAAGGCTTGTAAAATACAATTGTCAAAATGCTTTAATTTCATCCATGACTTCAAAATATAAATGTTCTTATGTT